GGCATGAAGATATATTATCTCACAAAGTTCTTAAGAAATTATACCAGGTTGCGCTGCAAGGGACAGTGAAAATGAAGAGTTATTATTGAATTCTCAACTTAGAATGCGCAGAAAATAGGACAAGAAAACAATTCAGCTATAACATGGGCTATTTTTTTTTCCTGTAAAAGGAAGGATGATTTAGAGGACTGAACTATAAGCTCAGAGGGCGGACAGCCAAGAACCACGGAAACTTATTAGCAGGAAGCAGGGCTAGATCCTTTAAAAAAAAAAAGGAAAAAAAAAAAAAGAGAGGCAACATGTGGCTAGTTGGATTTTGCAGTTTCCATGGGCCAGTATTGCTCAGTGATGAAAAGGAGTATTTACTGCAGTTTTTCTACCCTTATATCAACAATGCCTGATAGCTGTGCAGGGGTCATATTCACATGCCTTGTCTCTTTAGTTCCTAGGTCTCCAATCAAGAGGGACTAGAATTGAGGAGTTGTGCCTAAGGAATCTCACCCACGCCTGATATAGAGCTCATGATGATAGACTCAATGGAGATGCTGTAATGGCATAATGTTTTTACCACTTTGCTATATGGGAAATGTAGGAGGGTATAAAAGTATTCTGGTAGGTGGGAAATGTGTAAGTTATTGTGGTCAGAAGGATATGGTAGATTGGAGATGACTCCAAAGTCTGCTATTCTCTCACTGAAAGATGTGATCTAGTTTCCCTTCCATTTAACTCTGGACTGGCTTTAGTGAATTTTTTGTTTTTGTTTTTGTTTTTGAGGCAGTGGGTCTCCTGAGGCACACATTTATCAATTAAGTTTACCACCCTATATGGGCATGGTCCTTGGGCTTCAAAACAATTACAATAGTAACATCGAAGATCACAAAGCACTGATCACCACATAATATATAATAATAATGAACGAGTTTGAAATGTGAGAATTACCAAAATGTCACAGAGACACGAGGGGAGCAAATGCTATGGGGAAAAAGGGGCCCCATAGACTTGCTCAGCACAGGGCTGCCACAGATATTTAATTTGTAAAAAAGTGCAATCTGCAAAGCACAATAAATAATATATGCCGGTATATAAATAATTGTGACCAGAGGGATTATGGTACATTGAAGACGGCTGCAAAGTATTTGCTTCTCCTCTCGCTCACTAAGGTGTGATCTAATTTCTCTCCCCTTGCCTTGGATCTGATCAGCGATAGCGAAGGGATTTGTTTTACCAATAGAAGATAGTGGAAATGATGTTCTGGGCCTCCCGAGGCTAGCTCATAGGAAACACTGCAGCTTCCATTGTAGTCTCTCAACCTACCTGCTATTAGAGTCTGATCTGTCATCGAAGAAATTCAACTACTCTGCTCATAAGACTGTACGGAAAGACTCTAAGACTTCATGGAGAAAGGAGAGGCTTTCAAACCATCCCTGCTAAGGTGCCAGGCTTCTGAGTGAAGCCATCGTGCATTCTCTCCATATGCCCGGATGCCACCTGAACGTCACTGAGTGACCCCTATTAGTGCCCTAGAGAACAGAAGAAATGCTGGGCCAGACCAAACTGGAACTTCTGACTATGAAATAATGGAAAAGAAAAGGATGATTTTGTTCTAAGCCGCTAAGTTTTGAGTGACTTGTTAGGCAGCAATAGACAACCTGCACATCACTTTTCCTTAGCTAATTAATGACATCCCATTCACATTCATCAAATAATCAAAGCCAAAAATTTCTGAGGTTTCCTCAGATTCTTTTTTAATTTTTAACCTCCCCTGTGAATCCATCAGCAAGTACTTTTTGGTCTTTTAACTAAAATGTATCTTGAATAGGTTAATTTCTCTCTACACTGCAACTAACTAGCCCCATGTACCATCATCTGGGGTCTTGACCTTTAACGTCACTGGTCTCCAGTTCCCACTCTTCCTTTTTATAATCAAATTTTCAACAACAACAAGAGTGATCTTTAAAAAAAAAAACTATTCACAGTGGATTAGATTTATTTAAATCACCATTTAATGGCTTCCCATATCTTTTAGAATAAAATTCAAAGACTTTTCCATGGCCCATGAAGCTCCCCATGATCTCACTGTTTTTGAGCACCTCTGTCCCCCTGGTTTACCAAGGCCTCCTTATTTCTTGAGATTATCAGGATCTCTGCACTTGCTGATTTCCCCTCCCTCTCCATATCAATGGGTACTTCTCATCTTTCAACTCAGCCAGCGCCTCCTCCAAGTGGCCTTCCTTGTCACTCAAGGGTAATGCCACCCACACCTCACAGTTACCTTTTATAAGACAACCCAAGTGTCTTTTCCACACCCCCTACCATATTATATATTTATAACATTTATTTATTCTCTAGGGTCTCCCCCATTAAAATCTAAACTGCCTGAGAACTCTATTCATCAGCATATCTTCAGTGTTTACTCAGTTGCTAGAATATAATCAAAGCTCAATAAACATTTTTGAAATGAATGACTATCACATATCTACCTATAAAATGTCTTCAAGGTCTGGATCAAATATTCCTCACAGATTTTGAGATCACAATGGAAGGCATTTATCAGTGTTTAAGGCTCCCCTTCCCACCTTCTCCCGGAATTATCTAAACACCCAAAGAAAATGTGTAGGCATGCATATGTAACAGGTCTGGCAGAAGGAACGCCTGCTTGAGTGTGGTTGGTAGGGTACATGCATGTCTCGCGCGAGAAGGACAGCAGTTTGAACATCTCACCTAAGATGATATATGGTGTGCGTGAGTGTGATAGTTGTGTTACAGAGTTACATGCTTATGATTTTGTAACAAAAGATTCTGTAATAAAAAAGGGGTGTTATTTGTGCCAGACACTGTATATATGTGTGCATGAGTGCATGTGTATAAAAATCAATTTTTGTTATCGGTCTTTGACTTGAATTATTTTCTAGTTAGCAAAGCTCAAATGATGCCTGGGGTAAAATACAGAACACTCTGACAGCTCTAAGATATAAATTCAAGGTGTCCAGGAGGATGCTAGTCTTTACATCAGGGTGCACACAGCTACAGCTCTGAGATGTCATGGGAGTAAGGGTGCACCTGGATTTTTTAAAGAACAGAAAATGTTGTTTGTCAAAAATACAATACTATGATAACACCTCAAAATAGGCTCAGAGCAAAAGATGATATTGTCTCTTAGCTCAATTATACCAATTAATGAAAGGGTGAAGCCATATATTGATACCACTTCTGCTTTAAGTATCAAATGGAAGTCTGTGAACATGAATAGTCTCACCCTGGGGTGCATTTTAATATTTGAAATATGAAATAACTGAATAATTATTGACTAAGTGAGATTCTAATAATGTGCCAGTACTTTTGCACTTTATTATCATTTTGCTGTGAGGTGTCTTGGGTGGACTGCTACGAAATAGAAGTATACTGGGGAGTATAAGAGAACCATAATGGAAAAAAAATATAAATAAGATAAAATTTAAAAAATGAAATATACTTTTGGCCTCTGCTCCCAGTTCCCCTTACACAGCTCCGAAAACCCATGTAATTTCCTGAGTAATAGACACGCCAGGAGAATGAAATTGATATCTGGATATTTAGAAAATATTGATTTTCCAATTGGTTGGAATTGGGGAAAAACACCACAAATTTGGTGTGAGTAAAGAAAGTTTTCCTTTACCCATTATTTATCATTTCATGTTTTTTAATTTATCTGTGTTACCTTTTTAGTCTTTGGTATGCATTTTCCACTCCGATTTTACAATATTATAGATACTCTTAATTTTTACTTAACAGTTTATTTTAAATATTTTCCATTTTATTACATTTTTTTCTTATACCCAATCCTCACTTCTCTCATCCTGTTACACCAAGACATGGACTTTCATGATCCAAGTCTTGCTTTCAGATGCTCTAAACAGTCGTCAACTACTTTGAGCTGGGAATTCCCGAGTCCAGAAAATTTCCTTGCCCTTTCTAGTCTCATGGTGATGCTGCAAATTAGGGTAGATCACTACCCAAGCAATACATTTAGGGCATTCTATGGTAACATTTCTAGTTTTTATTGGGTTATAATTTCCTTGTAAATCTAGACTATGGAACTATGATTGTTGCTAATAATTTAATTTCAAGGTTTAGAATTTAAAAATACCCTTTTTAATTCTTACCATTAAAGAAAATTATATTATGTCAAACTGAACTATTTGCTTTTAACATGTGTTTAAATATGGATAAACTTCTAGTCACATCTTATGATTTTGGTGCCCAAACCTGACTTCTTAAAAGATGGGAATCAACCCAGTTTCCCCATCCTCACTTTTGTTTTGGACTCTTCACAACCTAGACCTTTTTCTAGGGGCTAGAGTTTGTTCATGAGCCTGATATAAAGGCTTGATTATGTTACTCAAATCCTCTGGAACTGCTGAAATCATTAAACTGATTGTGGCAACACAGTATAGGTTAAGTTCATGGAATCAGAGGACGTGAGTCCACCTCTCTCCAGACAAACTTTTGGATCTCCTTAAGACTCAGTATTCTAATCTGTACATTGAGAAAAATTAATAATACCAGGATCATGGGGTTGCTGTGAAAATTAAATGGAGAAGTATAGCAGTTTTGGACCCAGACTTTCTGGATTCAAACACTAGATGCACAGCCCCCTAGCTGGATCTACTTAATGTCTCTATGCCCCAAATGATTTATTTGTAAAATAGAAATACTAGTTCTACGTCATGTGGCTTTTGTGAGAAATAAACCAGTCAATATATGTAATGTGCTTAGAATAGGGCTTGGCATATAGTAAGTGCAAATTATTGTTTGCTAAATAAATTAAATAACAAAATTAACCTACAGGTGTTAATAATAGTAGTAATTATAGTAATAATAATCGGCTTACAAGTGTATAAAAAATGAGATTTAGAAGAAACATGAATATAAGCAATCAGTTATGCAGCGTTTGGTAGGTCCTAAGTGTGATACAGGTAAACACAAACTTTATAGTTCATCTGCCATGGTAAGAATAGATCCTAAGAATGTAATCTGACAACTGCCTTTCTCAAGGCTTCCTTCACATCTCTGTTCCTCAGACTGTAGATGAGAGGGTTCAACATGGGGATCACCACAGTGTAGAACAAAGACACCACTTTGTTCTGGTCAGTTGAGTAGCTGGATTTGGGCATGACATAAATGAAGGTAACAGTTCCATAGTAGAGAGTAACTGCAGTGAGGTGGGAGGTGCAGGTGGAGAAGGCTTTATGGCGCCCTTCAGCAGAACGCATCTTCAGGATGGTGATGAGGATGCAGATGTAAGAGACAGATATCACAAACACAGTGACCACAATAATAGACCCAGAAGAGATGGAAGGGATAATTTCAATAATAGAAATATCTGAGCAGGAAATTTTTAACAAAGGGGAGAAATCACAGAAAAAGTGATCTACTTGATTTGGTCCACAGAAAGACACAGTCAATAAACAGCCAGTAAATGTCCAAGCATTCACACACCCACCCAAGTAGGAAATCCCCACTAAGAGAATGCACACCCTGGGGGACATGTGGGTGGAGTAGAGCAGCGGGGAGCAGATGGCCACATAGCGATCATAGGCCATGGCGGCCAGCAGGAAGCACTCAGCTGTCCCAAATGTGACCACAGAACAGAGCTGGGCTATACAACCGGCAACACGGATAGAGGTTCCTTCCCTGAGGAAGCCCGTGAGCATAACGGGTGTGACCGATGAGGAGTAACCAATGTCTACAAAGGCCAAATGGCAGAGGAAAAGGTACATTGGGGTATGAAGCTGAGGGCTGCTCCTGATTAACATGATTATGCTGACATTGCCCGTTAAGGTGACAACATAGATTCCTAGGAACACAATAAATAAAATGGCACAAATTGTAGTATTCTCTGTGAACCCCAAAATGACGAACTCAGTCACGCTGGTGTGGTTTCCAACCTCCATGTCTTCTGTGAATTATTTCTGTTGAGGGAAATGTGAATATTTTCTATGCTTCCCCGTGTTTTGCCATTGTGTTGTGACAAAGGCAAAGTTCCTCTGTTTTGAGGCAGTTCTGCAAAAGCAGAATTAATGGTGAATAATAAGAGAAGACAGAGAAATTACAGTACAATGCAATCTTTTCAGGACATTCAGTGAAAATTAGAAAAGAAAGTTGTTTATCATAATGAGAAACCAGAAGTGTGAAAATGATTTTTAAATATTTCTGTAAAATATTATAAAATAATTTAATTGGTACTTTATTTACCTGAAAATTTCACTTACGCATTTTTTCCCATTAGCTTCAGCTAAATAAAACCCCCTGCAGATACATTCTACAGATTTATAAATTCTTTTTGAATGCATTTTATTTTACTATTTTATCATATAATTAACAACTAAAGAAAGGCTCACCTACAAATCTTTAATAATGCCTCACAATCCGTTTTGATATATTGCACTTTTGTGGCATAAGTAGTATTTATATATTTGTAACCATAAAATATATTCCATTTTTGTAATTTATAATTTTAATCATTATTATCAATAAAATGTGTCTCAGTTTCCTAAGAATTTTCATATCAGAAATGCTTAATGGAAAATATATCAAACTCTTTCGCATGGTATTCATGAAGTTTCATAATCTATCTCTGATTACTCTTCTAAATTTATCTACCTATATATATGCTTCCTTGAAATTTTTGTGCTTTTAACAGCCATGTTAACATGAAACTGAGGGCTTCTACTCAGTGTTATTGGTTCTAATTTTTAAGGAAACACAATATTCTGCTACATTATTTCAGTTCTTCAAGTTCTAACTACTTACCCTAAGTGGTAAATATCGGTACAAAATATCATTAAAATGTCATTTTTAAATTAGAAATCATTTAATATTTCTAATAGTGGGACTTAGTTCTTTGACTGAATGAATGGTAATATATAATAAACCAATAGTTGGGAATCCACAGTTCATTAAAAAATGCATTCTATTTCTTCTTTGATTTCATTAAGTGCAATGGAATTACTCTACTGAAAGGTAGCTTGCTGCCATTGTTGTAAGCTCTATCATTAAAATCTGTTTTTCATCTTATCAGTGATCCCCTAGGAACAAACCTTCCCCTTTCTGTAGAAAAACTTTGACATATTTGAACATAGCTAGCTCGCCTCTAGTGCCTTTCCTTTCCTAAAATTAAGCGTCTATAGTTCTTTGGCCATTCCACCTGTGGCACACTTTCCAGATCCCTCACACTGGTCCTCGTCAACCTCTGCATATACACTGGGTTGAGCAAGGGGGCCAAGCACTGAGCAGCACTTGTGGGGTCTCCTCTGCATCACTGAGCACACTGTGAGCCTCAGTCTGTGCAGATGGCAGCTACGAAGATGAAAAGGGAAAAGAGATCCTAGACCTCCCACTGGCCAGCAGCTTGAACTTCCACATGAAATCTCTGTGCCTCAGTTTTTTCATTTGTAAAACGGGTATAATTGTTTTTGTAATGCAGCTTTGTTGTGAGATTAAAAGAAATGATATTTACCAAGTATCCAAAGGTGTTTGGTCATATATCAGGGCTAAGTAACTATTATTTATTAGGTAAAAATGAAGTATTGGTAGGTTTTCTGTTGCTTAATTTTTTGATGAGAAGTGTATATATAGTTTTTCTTTCAACACAAGGCAGGAGATTTTCACTACAAATCCAAAATAAGACTTGAAGTATAATATCTGATGCCGTCATACCTTTGTAACTGATTCTTGCTGTTCCCTCCTCCCTCCACTGGCCACCTAGGGCTCCTTCTCCAGCCCTTCCCTCTGCTACCCATTCATGCTTGCTCACCTGCAGCAGAGACTCTGACTTGGTTTAAGTGGCCAGAATGACTATTCTGCAGTGCACCCCGTGCTGAGGCCACAGTTTCCATAGAGGTCAAGAGCTAAGTTGATTAGATGGTTTCTTTCATTTTAAGTTCATTGAACAAATACAAACTTAAAGTACTTAAACAAAATCCATAAATATTACACTGACCTTTAGAGCCTGAATTGTTGAGGTTGAACTCCAAAGAGAATTTTATAAAGCAGAAGTTTTCCACTTAGTTTTATAAGTAGTTGTAGACTGAATACTTGACAGTGTAATCCACTGATGCTCCCTTTGATCAAGGACCACAGTTACATAAATGCTGTGAGGATGAGGGCGGTTATCTCTGTGTGGCTGCTGGGAGGAGGAGGCTGTAATAGATCACAAGTTCCCTGGGGCTGTTGTTGCTTGCCTGATTGAGAAAAAGGTTCTCTTGTACAGAAGACCTTGTAAAGCCTGGTGACTCATTAAGGCCAGGCTGCCCTTCCCAAAGGGACAGCTGTACGTCATGTGTCCTTTGGAATTCCTTCTCCCTTATCTAATGAAAGTGAAAGAAAAAGTTCTTGGTCTCCCAGAGCACGGGAAACATCCAGAACAATAGCTAACTACTTTGCTAGGGTTAGATGGATGATGTCACTGTACTTTCCAATAAAATAACCTTTGAGTCAATATGAAAAGGATCATTTGAATTGAAGTAAGGAAAGAAGAAAACTATTACTTTGACTTAGTGTCTATTTAGCTGAAAAAAAAATAAGACAATTCTCTTTGGAATTCAGTATACACAGGAAGGTCCCCTGTTTCGGTCTCTTGGAACTCTTTTCTTCTCACTGCTTAACAGAATAATCCAAGAAACTGCTCTGAGGTATCTCAGCACCCACATTCCACTGAGCCAGCAGGCAATAGCCAGTACATAAGATATCCCACCTTCCTTTACATGTTTCTAAAGGTTACCACTAAAGTCCGTTATTTCTACAGCTCTTTCCACACATTCTGATAAGATGAGGCATCTCTAACTGATTTATTTTGCTATGCACAACTATCATTTTCCATCCTCAAGTTCTACTCAGGCCTGGATTCCCTTACTTCTTGTATTTGTCCCATGCCCATTCCAGAATTGTCTGATCCCATGTGAAAAAATGTCCTTCAACCTAAAACCATCAAAATATTTTACTGTGATATAAAATAAAAAGCATCCTCACTTCATCAGCCCTATTAAAAATTACTCACGTTGTTATCAAGAAGCAGGGTGGATTGCAAATCCAGAATAAGAAGAAGATCCAAATCTTCACAATGGTAATTGCCAGTAGGTCTGCATTTTGCTCAATCTTTCTTCTGCATTAAATTGAATTATTCATCTCTTTGGACAGTGGCAAGGGTCAGTGTTCCATAAGCCCTGAGAAGTTGAGAGCAAACCCATCATTCATGTAATCACTACTTTAATCAACATAGCATCCAAACTAAATTGAAGCCCTACCATCCAAACACAAAACCACTGATCAAATTTCAACCCAGATGGAATTTATCACACAGTGTCATCAGCACTACAACAAAGGCATGTAGAAGCTGCTTCAGAAATATAGGAGAAAGAATGATTTACTTTGCATCTAAGGGGCTGGCCAGGGAAGGTGGCATAAATAGATCAGGTGCTAACAAAGGTGTATTTTCAAGGATCCTGATGGAGGCTTTGCCCAGAGACCTGGACAAAGGACTGTGGGAATAGAACTGGCCAGAGAGATGGAGAAAAGAGTCAGTCCCACCAGGGCGCCAATTCTGACTCTGTAGACAAAACAGTCCCTTTAGTTGAGGACTTCAAGTAGCGGGGAGAGAGCCATGGAGTAACATGAGTAAGTAAGCAAAAACAAAGCGCAGTCTGTTGTTACTCAAAATGCAGTCCATGGACTGGTGGCCATGAGCAAATTATTTATTATCATTGCACGACAAAATATGGGCTGGAAGTTGAGGGTAACCATTTATACACTTTTATTGCAATTTGAGAGAGTAATAGAGTGATTTAAAGTGTGTTAATTATAATAATAATGCATTTATATTTTTGTTTTTCTTATTTTTTAGTAACTCTATACATTATTTTCTAAAAATTATTTATCCATGGATGCTTGAAAAAAATAGTTTGAAACACCTAGGTTTTTAAAGGTGTGACCTTTTTAACCGGGAGACCTGGGTTTAATTGGAGGTGTATGAGCTCAGGAAAACTGTTTAACCTCTTTGAGACTCAATTTCATGATTTCTAAAATGGGGTTAACTTCTATCTAATAGGCTGGTCATAGATATAAATAACATAACATATAGTTATGTAGAAAGTGAACTGAAGTTATCAATGTATCTCAAATATGTGATAAATATAAGAAAGTGCCTAAACATTTTGATTGGGATAGGACACACTCATCAGGATTGGATGGAGCCCTATTATCTTTTGCAAATGACTGTATTTATTTGTCACTCCCACACACTTCCCTCCTATGAAATCCATGACATTGCAACTACAACACCTGTTTGGCGCATTGATCTCCCTGCCATTCCTTACTCCGGAAGGACTTCAGCACCTGCACTAAAATTTTCCTCTCCATTTTATCTTTGCCATCAGCAAGGAAACTTCTAAGTACTTGCACATCTGAACCAATAGCCCAACTTAAAATTCCTCCACATTCGTGACTCTGATAGCTTTTATGCATCTATACTCTACTTATGAAACTCCCTAGCAAATTCATACCCTAAATATCACACATTTTCAGTTCTGTACCTCTTAAGAATACATAAAACTAAAAATACGGTGTTAAAACCTAATGAATGAAGGGCTACCAGAAACAAACTTACAATGCAACAAGATAAAGTTTATTTGCTCAGTGCAGTGATGAAGTGCTTGCTCTCCAGAAGACCACCACAGGCCCTCTCAATAATGAAGAGAAGGTATGTACTCTTTGGATTCTTTTTATTTTTTAAGATTTTATTTATTTATTTGTTTGTTTGTTTGCTTATTTATTTAGTGTTCAAATACATTTGTCTCCATTTTCCCACCACCACTTTCCCCTGCCCAACCCACCGCCACCTCCCACCTTCAATCCTTCCCCACTTTGGCTTTGTCGATGTTCCTTTATACATGTTCCTTGATTTGACCCTTCCCCTTCTTTTCCCTGTTACCCTTCCCTCCTTCCCTCCCGTTATTGTCAGTTTCTTTTTTCTTTCAGTGTTGCTGGTTACATTTTCCATGATTGTTTGTTTTGTTGATTAGGTTCCACTCATAGGTGAGATCATATGGTATTTGTCTTTCACTGCCTGGCTATTTTGCTTAGCATAATGCTCTCCAGTTCCATCCACGCTGTTGCGAAGGGTAGTAGCTCTCTCTCTGTGCTACATTGTATTCCTTTGTATAAATGTACCAGAGTTTTTTGATCCACTCATTTACTGATGGGCACTTAGGTAGCTTCTAACCCTTGGCTATTGTAAATCATGCTGCTATGAACATTGGAGTGCACAGGTTCTTTTGAATTGGTGTTTCAGGATTCTCAGGGTATAATACCACCAGTGGAACTGCCACATCAAAGAGCACCTCCATTTTTGGTTTCTTGAGGAAATTCCATACTGTTTTCCAGAGTGGCTACACCAGTCTGCATTCTCACCAACAGTGTACTAAGGTTCCCTCTTCTCCACAACCTAGCCAGCACTCATTGTTTGTTGATTTGTATATGATAGACATTCTGAATGGTGTGAAGTCGTATCTCACTATGGTTTTAATTTGCATTTCTCTGATGGCTAGTGATTCTGAGCATCTTTTCATATGTCTATGGGCCCTCTGTATGTCCTCCTTGGAGAAGTGTCTGTTCAGGTCCTTGGCCCATTTTTTAATTGGGTTGTTTGTCTTCCTGGAGTGGAATCATGTGAGTTATTTACATATTTTGGAGATAAACACCTGTCCACGGTATCATTGGCAAAAATATTTTCCCATATGGTTGGTTCCCTTTTCCTTTTGCAGATGTTTTCTGTAACTGAGAAGAAGCTTCTTATTTTGATGAAGTCCCATTTGTTTAATCATTCCTTTATGTCCCTTGCTCTAGGGGACATATCAGTGAAAATATTGCTGCGTAGGATATCTGAGAGTTTGTTACATATGTTTTTCTCTAGGACTTTTATAGTGTCACGATGTATATTTAAGTCTATTATCCATCTTGAGTTTATTTTTGTGTCAGTATAAGTTGGTGGTCAAATGTCAGTTTTTTGCATGTAGCTGTCTAGCTCTCCCAACACCATTTGTTGAAGAGGCTATTTTTATTCCATTTTATGCTTCTGCCCACTTTGTTGAATATTAATAGACCATAGAGATATGGGTTTATTTCTGGGCTCTCTATTCTGTTCCATTGATCTATATGTCTGTTCTTATGCCAGTATCAGACTTTTGATTACAGTGGCCTTGTAATATAGTTTGATGTCAGGTATTGTGATCTCTCCTACTTTGTTCTTTTTCAAAATTGCTGCGGCTATTTGGGGTCCTTTATGGTTCCATATAAATTTTTGAAATGTTTGTTCTATGTCTGTGAAATATGCAATTGGCATTTTTAATAGGGATTGCACTGAATCCTTTGGGTAGGATTTCTTTGGGTAGGATGGACATTTTGATGATGTTAATTCTTCCAATCCATGAACATGGTATATGCTGCCATTTATTTGTGTCTTCCTTAATTTCCTTCTTCAGGGTTGTGTAGTTTTCTGAGTACAGGTCTTTTACCTCCTTGGTTAAGTTTATTCCTAGGTACTTTATTTTTCTTGTTGCCATGTCAAATGGAACTTTTTTCCTGATTTCTGTTTCTGGTATTTTTTTGTTGGTGTACAAAAATGCCTTCAATTTCTGAATATTAACTTTGTATAACACTGTTTTGTCAAGTTCACTTATTAGGTTGAGTAGTTTTTGGTTGAGTCTATGGAGTTTTCTATGTACACTATCATGTCATCTGTAAACAATGACAGTTTTACTTCCTCCTTTCCTATTTGGATGTTTTTTATTTCTTTTTCTTGTCTGATTCCTATGGCTAGGACTTCCAATACGATGTTGAATAGAAGTGGTGAAAGTGGAACACCCTGTCTTGTTCCTGATCTTAGTGGGAATAAAGCTAGGGTTACCATTTTATAGTAAAGTTTAATATTATTTAATCTAAAGTATCAAAGTACACTTAGGACCAATATTTAGCTATGACATAATTATTTATCCTCCCAATTATTATCAACTGAAAGTGTACCAAAATCTAGATATTAAGAAAAAATTGATTAGTTCAAAATTAACAGAACTCTTAAAGATAAGTTGTGTTTATGTGAAGAGAACTGCTTGATAGTCACCGGAGAATGTGATAATGATCCCTGGTGCTTTGGAATTTACATTTGAGTCTCTAAAATCTTCAGAGATTTATCCCCAAAGGCAAACAATAATAAAAGAAAGCATGGCTACTATATAATAACAATGGCTTACCTGTAAGATTAATGAATTTACATGTCAAGAGGTAAGATTTTGGCTTTTGTGAGTAATCTATGATTTCCACTTATTCTCTAAAGTTGCACTCACAAGACACAGTGGAGAAACAAGACAGATGTAATCTGGCAGTCAGCTAGCAAGTAACCTTAGCTGAATTAACCTAAATTTCTAGTCTAGTCAGTGGGTATAAACAAATATAATTCAGGGGTCCAGGATCCCTCATTTATCCACCCATTAGACCTGAAAGTCACATGATCTTTCACACTATCTAAACTTGACACTCAACTATAATGCTAATAAGTTCACTAGCTTTGAGGTCTTACTGTTTGTAAATATCCAAAGACTTCCTTTGTTTATTGTTTTGAATGCTTTAGCTTACAGGCAACGAGATACTTCTGACAAAGTTGAGAATATATAGCCAGAAAACTTAAGGTGAGGTTCAACCTGGCCACAGGCTAGGTAAACCTTGGTAAAATCTGAACTTTTTAGGCTGTAACTTTATGCAGCTGCATATTATCTTGAAACTAGATTTCATTCTACAATACTCTAATTATAAAACATTGTTATATTAGGAAATGACTATTTGTTTAAATAAATTTACACAGTATTTAGGTTGATATTTCAAATTACTTGATATAACAATATTTTAGTTGTAAAATTAAGTATACATAACATATTTACAACAGGTGTCTTCATTCATAATATCAATTTTAAAATCCTTTCTACTTCTTCTTTGTTCTATTAAAAAAAATTTGTATTTCTCCTTTCAAGAAAATTTTACCCTTTGCAACAAGCATGGATGGAGCTGGAGAACATTATGCTAAATGAAATAAGCCAGTCAGAGAAAGACAAATACCATATAATTTCACTCATATGTGGAATCTAATGAACAAATTGAACTAACCAGCAACATAGAGACAGACTCAGAGACAGAGAGCAGGCTGACAGCTCTCAGAGTGGGTGGCGGGGGGGGAGTGGAGGGACTGAGCAAAAAAGGAAAAGGACATATGGACACAGAAAACAGGGGGTGATTATAGGGGGGTGGGTGGAGGTGGAAGAGGGTCTAAGGGGGATAACTAGTAATGGAAAAATACAATTAAAAAATAACTAATCAAAAAATTTGTATTTCTGACTCAATAACGAGTGTTATTTAATTTCATTTATAGTGTAGTTACAAAATAAATGGACTGGATTCAAGCTGCCTTGAGATTCACAACTTGATTCCATCCTTTGCTATGTAAACTTGGTAAGTTACTTAACCATGTCAAATCAGGTACTTCATCTATAAATATAAGTCCTTAATATTATTTCTTGGAAATTAATATCTAAAATTTTCAATATGCTTAGCATTTAGTGAACTTTCAATAAATGTTAGCTATTACTCGCGTCTCCATTATGTAATCCTATATTTATGCATTTATCTTTTTTGTTACACTGACAATTCCTATTTGCTATTCTCATAAGTCTCATGTTTTTAATGCTTAGATTTAAAGCCACAAAGCCACTTTAAGTACATTTTATAAATTGATAATATAAAGAGAAAAAGATATACATTATTTAGAAAAGCAGGTTCTCTAGTGTTACTGCTAAAAAGTTTATTTTTATCTTTATTATTTACTTTCCATTACCATTTAGTCCCTTTATACCCCCTCCCCCAGCAATCCCCACACCGTTGTCCATGTCCATGAGTCCTTTTTCCTTTTTGCTCAATTCCTCCATCGCCTAACCTCCCCCCTGCCCCACTAGCTGTCAAAAATATACAAGATTCATTGCACATAGCTCTGGACTCTAAAGAATGTCCAAATTTAGCTTGAATAATTATTTTATTTAGAATAACTTTCTGTATATTAATGAAAATAAACTATTGAATTCACAACTTTTTTATTGTTGACCCCATTACAGATGTCCCCCATGTACCCCTCTTTGCCTCTCTCCACCCAGCCCATGTCCCCACCCCCGACTCCTGGCTTTCATCCCATCATTGTGTGTGTCCGTGGGCTATGCATACATGCATATATGTTCTTTAGCTAATCTCTTCCAGCCCTCCCCTTCCTCCTCCCTTCTGAAATCTGTCAGTCTGTTCCATGTATCCATGTCTCTGGTTTTATTCAGTTCATCAGCTTGTTTTGTTCATTAGATTCCACATATGAGTGATGATATTAATGTAATGTTTCATCACAGGTTCGTTTTGGTAGCAGCAATATTATCTCATGGATTCCCTGGGACATAGGAACCACACTGTAGTGACAGACTTCATTTTACTGGGCTTAACTGATGATCCAGTCCTTCAGGTCATCCTCTTCATGATCATCTTATACATCTACCTGGTGACCATATGTGGCAATCTCAGCACAATCATTCTTATCAGAATCTCTTCTCAGCTCCATCATCCTATGTACTTTTTTCTGAGCCACTTGGCTTTTGCTGACATATGCTTTTCAACTTCTGTCACACCCAATATGCTTGAAAACTTCCTAATGGAGAGAGATCTAATCTCCTATCATGGATGTGTCATGCAGCTTGGTTCAACTGCTGTCTTTGGGACAGTTGAATGCTTCCTTCTGGCTACAATGGCATATGATCGCTTTGTGGCAATCTGCAACCCACTCCTTTATTCAACCAAAATGTCCACTCGAGTCTGTGTTCAGTTCCTCATAGTGGCTTATGTGGGTGGTTTTCTCAATGCGTCCTCCTTTATTACTTGCTTCTATTTTTTGTTCTTCTGTGGACCAAATCATGTCAACCATTTTTTCTGTGATTTTGCTCCTCTAGTGGAACTCTCCTGTTCTGATGTCAGTCTCCCAGAAGTTGTCCCCTCATTTACATCTGGCTCCATCATTGTGCTCACAGTGTTTGTCATAGTTGTCTCCTACATCTACATCCTTATCACCATCCTGAAGATGCGCTCCAACGAGGGGCGCCACAAGGCCTTCTCCACCTGCTCATCCCACCTCACAGCAGTCACTCTGTTCTATGGGACCATCACATTCATATATGTGATGCCCAAGTCCACCTTCTCAAGTGACCAGAACAAAGTGGTGTCTGTGTTCTACACAGTGGTGATTCCCATGCTGAACCCCATCATCTATAGCCTCCGGAACAATGAAATTAAGGGTGCTCTGAAAAGAGTGCTTTGCAAAAAAGTATTTTCTTAGTGAGGCCTGTTATTTTGTGGTACTTGATATGATAATATGCCATAAATATAACAATAAAAGGAAACTGACTATCTGCAGTCAAAATATATTTATCTATATGTAACTGGCCAGTGTGGAGCTTTTTGTGAAAATAGGAGGTGAATTTTCTGGTATTGAATAATGTGGATGACCTGCATCTGATCAGTTGAAATGATTAAAAAAAACAACAACAACCAATGGAGGTCCCTGATAAAAGACTGGTTCTGTCTCCTGGTTGTCTTAGAATGCAACACTGTGCCATCAATTCTTACTGGAATTTTTATTCGGCTGGACTGCCTTTGGACTTTGGAACTGTTATCTCCACAACTGTCTGAGCTAATTCCTTAAAAATATCTTTCTATCATTCTGTCTTTCTGTCTATCTTTTATTGCTTTTGTTTCTCTAGGGAATACTGATACAACCATAACCAGTTTTCTTCTTGCTCTTCTCTTCCCATCATTCTCCATACATCAATCATAATACTAAATCTAAATAGTTTAGTTCCCCTGTTAATGTGCCCAAAAGGTCTTAGGATAAAGGCAACAATTCTGAACATGGCCTACAAAGTCTTGAACATAGCCCATGTGTCTTTTTCCCTCTCACCATTCTCCCCTTGATCTCTAAACACACCAACTCTAGGAACCAATCTTTTGCTTTTCTTTAAATCCTTAAACATGTCTATATTCTTTACCACATCAGGACCATCTCATATGCAGTAGCTCTACTTGAAATGGGTTTTTTTCCACACCTGGGTAATGCCTAATAATGGTACAGGTACTAAAGGCTGTTTTTTATCCTCTAGAAAGTCTTCTTGAAATTCCAGACCAAATTAAGTACACCTGTTATTCTTCTGTAGAACCCTGTGTATTTTCTTCAGAATACTCAATGCACATAATGGTTAAACATTCAGTATTTATTTTCTTCACAATGTTGGAAGCTTCATATAGAAATCTACAATGTCTATCCTGTCTCCCCAGGCATCTATGTTCACACAGTTCCTGCAACATAGTAAGCATAAATGCTTAGTTGAAATGAAAACATTAATAAATGAATGGCTAGCTGACTGAAGCTTTTCCTGTGTCATGAACCAATGGCTCTGGTAGCTTTGAATCCTGGCCACCAATCTGTTGAATGTTTCATCCTAATTGAAGTGACTGAATGTTTGTGTCTGACCTTGCTACAACTCCGACATGCCATTACACAAACCCACGCTCACCAGAATTATGCCCTTGCCTCCACACTGATTAACTCAGACTGTCAACTAGAATCCCAGCATAGTTATTGAAAGTTTTGTGAACACCGCCTTTTGAGTAATGCCTCCTTTGTATCTTTGCATGGTTGGAGAGTTAGAAGATTTAGAAGTCAAATATTAGGAAGGGCAGTATTAGCAGTATTAAGAGTATTTGCAATAGAAGCTAACAATATGAGACTGTTCACTACACTCCAGGTACTGTTCACAGAGATCTACAAGTATAAGCCAATTAATCATCAGAATATCTCTATGAAGTTTTTTTTTTTATTCTGTATTTTACAGACGACATAACTGGGGCACATAAAGTTTAAGCAAAAACTCAAAAGTCACAAATATCCTCTTAATACTTTTCTTTCTTTTAGGTATATATTCTGTTAAGGGAAAGTCTGAAGGGCTCTTTGAGAATAAAACAAGACCCACAGATATGCTGCTTACTAGAGACCCACTTCAGATTGAAGGACACACAGAGACTTAAAGGGATGAAAAAAGATATTTCATGCAAATGGAAACAAAAACATCTGGGGTACCAATACTTACATGAGACAAAAGTAGACTTTAAAACAAAGGCTATAACAAGGGACAAAGAAGGGCATATCATAATGATAAAGTGAAAAATCAAACAAGAGGACATAACCCTAGTAAACATTTATGCACCCATCAGAGGAGTGCCTAAATATATAAAGCAAATATTGACTGACACAAAAGTAGAGATCAACAGTAACACAGTCATAGTAGGATACTTTAACACCATTGGTATCAGTGGGTATATGGGTATATCATCCAGACAGAAAATCAACAAGGAAAGAGCAATTTTAAATGACACATTAGACCAGATGAATTTAATTGATGTTTTTAGGACATTTCACCCCATAGCAGCAGACTATATACTCTTTTCCAGTGCACAGGGTATATTTTCTTTTTTCTTTTTTTAAAAAATGTTTTATTTATTTATTTTTAGAGAGAGGGAATGGGAGGAAGAAGCAGAGAGAGAGAAACGTCGATGTGTGAGAGAAACATTGATCAGCTGCCTCTTGCATGCACTCGGCCTGCAACCCAAGCATGTGCCCTGACCAGCATTCAAACGAGTGACTTTATGCTTTGTGGGATGATGCCCAACCAACTGATCCACACTGGTCAGGGTACACATGATGTGTTTTCCAGGACAGACCACATGTTAAGCTATAAAACAAGTTTCAATAAATTTAAGATTGAAATCTTATCATGCACCTTCTCTAATCACAATAGTATAAAAGTAGAAATCACAAGAATAAACATGAACAACATACACACATGTGGAGGCTAAGGCACACATGCTACTACACAATGAATGGGTTAACCATGAGATCAAGGAAGAAATCAAAAAATACTTTGAGACAAATGAAAATGAAACACGACAACCCAAAAATCCATGAGACAGAGGCATAGCAATAAAAGGTCTACCCACAAAAAGAAGAAAAATATCAAATAAACAATCTAAACTTACATCTAAAGGAACTAGAAAAGAACAACAAAGTCCAAACTGAGTAGAAGGAAGGAAATAAAAACTAGAGTGAAAATAAGAAAATTGAGTCTAAAATAACAATAGAAAAAAAGTCAATGAAACCAAGAGCTACTTTTTTTGATGAACAAAACTGATAAAACTTTATCCAGATTCATCAAGAAAAAAAAAGATAAGGGACAAATAAATAAAATCAGAAGTAAAAGAGGATAAGAGACAACCAACACCAGAGAAACACAAAAACTATTTTAAAATTCGGAACAATTTGGCCAACAAATTGGACAATCTGGAAGAAATAAATGAAATCCTAGAAACATACAATCCCTCAAAACTGAATCAGGTATAAAGATAAAATCTGCACAGACTGACAACTACTAACAAAATCAAATCATTAATTTAAAAACTCCAAACAAAAGTCCTGAACCAGGTGGCTTCACAGGTAAATTTTACCAAACATTTTAAGAAGAATTAATAGCTATTCCTCTCAAACTATTCCAAAAATTTGAAGAGGATGGATGTTTCCCAAACTTATTTTATGAGGCCAGCATTACCCTGATACTCAAACCAGACAAGTACATACCAAAAACAATTATACACCAATATCTTTGATAAACTTGGATGCAAAGTCCTTAAAAAATGTCTACAAATCAAATTCAGCAATACATTAAAAAGATCATATACCATGATCAAGTGGGATTTATTCCTGGGCTAAAAGGTTGACTCAATATCCACAAATCAATTGATGTGATATATCACATAAACAAAATAAAAGATAAAATCATATGATCATATCAACAGATGCAGAAAAAGCATTTGACAAAATGCAACATTCATGATAACTCTCAACAAAGTGGGGACAGAGGGAACATACCTCAACATAATAAAGGCCATATTACACAAACTCACAGCTAACATACTCAAAAGTGAAAAACTGAAAGTTTTTTCACTTTAAGATCAAGGAACAAGACAAGGATTTCAACTTTCACTGCTTTTACTTAACAAAGTATTGGAAGTCTTATCCACAACAGACAAGAAAAAGAATACAGAGCATCTGAATTGGGACAGAAGAAGTAAAATAGTCATTATTTACAGATAACATAAAACTATATATAGAGGACCCTAAAGAATCTATTAATAATTAGAATAGTAAATTCAGTAAAGTAGCAGAATACAAAATTAATATTCAGAAATCAGTTGAATTTTTATATACCAATAACAAATTATCACACAAAGAAATTGAGAAAACAATCCCACGTACAGCTTCATCAAAAAGAAAAATATCTGGGAATAAATTTAACCAAGAAGGTAAAATACCTTTACTTGGAAAACTGTAAGGCACTGGTAAAAGAAACTGAAGATACAAATAAATGGAATAATATCCTGTGCTCATGGAGAGGAAGAATTAACATCATTACAATGTCCATACCACCCAAAACAATCTACGGATTAAATGAAATTCCTACCAAAATACCAATGGCATTTTTTCCCAGAACTAGGACAGATAATCCTAAAATGTATATGGAACCACAAAAAGCCCTGAATAGTCAAAGCAATCTTGAAAAAGAAAAAGTTGGAGGTATCCTGCTACCTGATATACAACCACGGCTATAGTAATCAAAACAGCATAGTACCGGTACATAAGCAGACACACAGATCAATGAAACAGAACAGAGAGCCAAGAAATAAACCTATGCCAATATAATCAATTAATCTATGACAAAGAAGGCAGAAACACACAATAAGGTAAAGACCATCTTTTCAATACATCATGTTAGAAAATGGGATAGATAAATGCTAAGAAGGTAAAACTGGGTCACTTGCTTACACAATATACAAAAATAAACTCAAAATGGATTAAAGACTTAAATGTAGACCTGAAACCCCAAAAAACAAAAACAAAAACCAACCTTGAAAAAAACACAGCAGTAAACTTTTTGACATCACTGTTAGTAAAACTTTTTGATGATATCTCCTTGAGCAGGGGAAACAAAAGGAAAATAAACAAATGCAACTACATCAAACTAAAAAGTTTTTGCACAGCAAAGGAAACCATTAAAAAAACAAAAAAAATTGCCTACTGAATGAGGTAAGACATTCACCAATGATACATCCAATATGGGGTTAATATTAAAAATATATATAAGAAACTCATATAACAACACACACACACAAAGAAAACAATCTGATTAAAAAATGAGCAGAGGGCCTGAATGGACACTTCTCTGGAGAGGA